AGTTATAAAGAATTCGGAGGTAAAAACCCTGAGTAACTGGACTATAATATGTTATCATGGAGCAAGCAGATATTCACTAAAATCTCTTGTCGTCTTTTTGAGGCTTTTTGCACCCTTAATAAGTGGTAAAAATTTCAGCACGAAAGCTTCATTAGTTTGGCGTTGACGGAATTTGTTATCTAAGAAGATGCTATTTTCAGTTGATTTTTCCCAAGCTCAAAGGCGTTGTAGAGTTTCGATCATTAGTTGTTTTTGTACCTAAATAGTTGTATTGACATATGCATTTACTAATAATTTCATTTTTCAAATTTAATTTGTTTAAAACTTAGGTACTTTGAAAAAATGTTAATATTTATTAAATTATTAAAAGCAATTATTATAAAATGAAATAAAGCTAGGTAGGTTGTAGGTATAAGTACGTGAAAAATTGCAAAAATATTCAAAATTTTCTAATATATAATAATTTAATAAATAATAATTCTGTTTTTATATAATTTATTTGAATTATAAATTTGGAAGGAGGCACTTACAATTAGAAACATACAAAACTTAATTCTTAGATAGCATATGACAGGCAAGTCCTTATAATAAATATATTCATCTTTTTTTGGTGTAACTTATTACAAAAAATATACAATTCGTGCATTTTATACCTTATGGTGATATAACAAGTAACAAACAAAGCGTGTTTTATTGCCATCTTTAACAAAGATGTGGATTTTATAATCGATATATTATACAACAGTCATAGTCATATGGAAATTATTATTTCTAACGCAAAGTGCTCTCTTTTTCTTAATTTGTTTACATAATGTTATAATTTTTATACTATAACATATTATGTAATTACAAATTAGGTATTTCAAAATATACACACTTCAATAACCCATGACTTGAACAGTTAACTAGGGTGCTCCAATGGCGCAAAGCGTTGAGCGTTGGCCTTTCGTGCGAGAGGTAGTGGGTTCGATTCCCGATGCAGGCATATAGACTTTTTTATATTTATTTCTATTTCAAATAACGTGAATTATGATCGGCAGACAAATGCAGATAAAATTCGACAAGATTATTCTCAAACTATAAGAAATTTTAAACACCGCACCGCTGGGCTGTAGTAAACACGACGATGCAATGTTGCCATATTAAAGGATATTGAACTTACAATAATTAGGTATAGATTTAGTACTTTCAGCCCACTTATTGTAGCTGAAAATATAGTAATACATCCGATTTTTTTATAACTGCTTCGATTTTTCTCAAAATTTAGAATTAGGTTCATCTTACCCCCCACTTCAAAACATATATGGGCTAGGTGTGCTTTTTGTTTTTGAGGGGGAAACCACCCCTTATTGGAAAAAATCTTTTTTATTTATGCAGTATGAGTAATTTCATGTGCTATCTAACATGTGTCTCAAATTTTCAACCCGGAAAAACCTCTAAAAACCACCCCTTTGGATGAAAATGATATAATTTTTTTTTTTCAACTTGGAAGGTTTTAATCATGCATTTTGATCAAATTAAAATTGATTTGTGATTAAAAAATCTTTTTTATCGATTCCAACTTTTCAACCCTTGAAAAATACCCCTTCTTTCGAAAATAAAATCAAAAAATATTATTGAAGGAGTAGAAACATTTTAAATGTGCATTCGTATATTTTTCTAAAATTATCACCTATACAGTGTTTATTTTTTTGACGATAACTTTCTTACTTTTTAAGATTTTTAATCGCACAAAGGCTCATTTTGCAGGGAAATGTTAGGGCTACGTGAACTGTCGAGTTGATATTTTTTAAGCCCTTCATTTGTAAGTTTGAAGGGTTTAAAGGGCTCGAAAAGGGTAATTGTCTCATTTATATAATAACTTAAAATGGCGATATCTCTATTAATATTAATTTTAGAGGAATAATAAAAAACAAGCAAAATCTTCAGCAAAGATAAAGCTAAATTTTTTACCCTTGTATTTTTTTCGTTCACTCTTTAATTTTTAAGTTACAGCGTAAAAATTGATTATTTTTAAAAAATTGGAAAAATTAACATTTTCAAAAATTAAGTTATTTTTGGAAATCATGCTTTGTAAGTGAGCCAAAAATCCAGAACATATTCTTAGAACATAAATGAATTAATCTGTAAATGGATTGCATTTAATTTTAATTCTGTCGCCAAAGGCACCGATTTATTTATTAATTTTTTCTTAAAAAAAATGAGACTATCATGTTGTTTCGATCATATTTCCGTTAATTTTGATTCTAAAGACTTTTAAAACAGCGCATTTTAAAGGTTTTTCAAAGTACTTTAAAAAAGGTGCAAATAGTTTTTTCCTAATATTTATGGTATTGGCGTTATTTAACGTTAACTGGTTCCAATTTAGTTTTTAGGTAAAATATAATAATGTTTCAAAATCCATAACTCGGTTTATATTGCAATTAGAGAAAAACAAAATTATGCCATTAGATTTGTTTTTTATTACCTTTCATTTTGTTCATTACAACTTTTTCGTTAAATCCATGGTTTCAGAGTTATTTGCAAAAAACTGTCCGAAAACAAGCACTTTTTCAGTAAAAAATCAATACTCTCGCCAAATTTCGGCTCATAATATTAATAATTAAGGTGGTCACTGCGATTAAATAAAAAAAAAATTATCTCAGCTTCTAATCAACTTAAAACGATTTTTTTTTTAATTTGAAGAAAAATAGTACTAACTAAACTATAGAGGTTAATTTTTTATTTTATAAAATTACCTATCTTAACAATTTAACAAATATTAACATTTTTTTAGTCATTTTTAAACAAATTAAATTTGAAAAATTAAATTCTCAGTAAATGCATATGTCAATACAACTATTTAGGTAAAAAAACAACTAATGATCGTAACCCTACAACGCCTTTGAGCTTGGGAAAAATGAATTGAAAATATCATCTTAGATAACAAATTCCGCCAACGCCAAACTAATGAAGCTTTCGGGCTGAAATTTTTACCACTTATTAAGGGTGCAAAAGCCTCAAAAATCCTGAATTACAAGTGTCTGCGATGAAAATTGCATTAATTATTAGCAATTGAGGAAAACGGCCATTTTCGACCATTTTTGAGCTCTTGCGCATAAACAAATTGTCGGAATTTAATCGGACTTGTCTCATTTTATAGGCTTATTTAAAACCTACCTTTTTTGTATAAACGTTTTTTCTCTATGAATAAGAGTTTTTTTACGGGAGTGGAAAAACCACTTTTCCATAACTTTGACCATTGTTTTAACAAAGTTTCCCAACTAGTCTCGAGTTGATTTTTTGATATTTTGTTTATAACACGTTTCTGAACAATATTCCGCAAAAAGCTTTCAATAGTATTTTTTTCCCGAAAAAAAGCTACGATTTGTTCTTACTGGAAAACCAAATTGAGAACAGAAAAGGAGGAATGCTGTTCTCGTACGTCTCGTTCCATTTTAATTTTTTTTTTGATATCCAACAATTTTCTGCTTGTAAAAATGTTTTATTTGTACAAGTGTCGTATCTTCAGGATATAAAAATCCTTAAAAATTTGTTTCCAAGAAAATTTTCTCAATAATTAATTTTAACTTAACGGTTCAATTTTTAAATTCTTACTAAAAATTTTCAATGTATTTTCTTACGTAATTCTGACATTTTAAAACAGCACGTAAAAAAAGCCACGATAGACGAGACCTCACTATTTCTGCACTTTCATTCACGTGGCCTCCTTACGATTGGAATTAATGCAAAAATTGCAAGATCTTACTATCGCGGCTATTTTTGTACGTTGCAAATTTCAACGAAGGTAAACGTTCATTTTCGCCGTGGGAAAAATAAAAATCTGCGCTCATTTTCAAGACCGATTTATTTCAAAATTCTTAATATTACAAAGTCTATTGAATTAACAGTAAGTAATTAATCAGTAATAAATTACAACCAATTGGCAAAAGTGTTCAGTTAGAACGGAATAATTCATTTCCCTCACAAATAAAAATGCCTTCGCATAATAAATCAAAACGATGTTCTAACTGACCGTAAAGCTACTGTATATAAAAAAAAAAAAGGAATCTGAACTCCTAGCGGCAGTAAAAATATACACAATAAATCCTGCCTCTTTCGATATAATTATATATATAAAATAAAATATGTATCACTTAGGGTATTCCTTACATTACACCTACAATAATACTGACACCAGGAAATAAATTAAACACCGTTTTTCTTTTAACGAAATAATTACCACAAATTAATGAATTTTAGTGTTGTACAAAGTTGCGAAACTCCATCACAGTTCATTCAATCCATCCATCAATCACATCCACAAACCAGATTAGCCGTTTTCAGATAAATTATGTCCATCTTCCTGTGTCAGCTGCTTCGTTCCTTAGTCAGATCTCTATTTCACTGTAAAATTAATGTAAGTTAGCGTTTCGACAGAAAAATACATGAGATAAAGGCGAAACTAATCATTCTACCTATCCGCCCCTACAGGAGGTCCAGAAACTGCTATCCTTGCCTGCTAACCCTGCTGGGACGTTTGAACTACTCCGTCAGATGATTTTTTTTTTTTTAACACGACCACGATTAATTTATCATTGTGCCGAGTAAATGAAACGGCACAGTTCGCTTTCCGTTTAATACTTTTAGGCGTCGATACGGGCCGCTACGTCTAAAGTAATTTGAAACCGTCCCATTCGGGCTTCGCTGTTTGAATTATTTTAATGATTGGCAAGGAATATAGTGTTTGTGAAACGATTCCGTTGGACTAGAGTTCATACCGGTAAAAGACATAAAAGGAATCCACTCTTACAGCTGCCGTACCGGGTATTTTTATTACACGACTCAAGTTTTATAATCGACAGGTCTTTTTTAAAAGTGTACTTTTTTTCCAATAATAAAAGAAATCCCAAAAAATTGTTTGACGAAAAAAAAACACCACTTAAACTTATTCTGAGGGTACTATCGAGTTTTCAAACAAGGAATTCATTATTTAAGAGTAGAACCATTATAATTTTTTGCCCACAGTTTCTGGACACCCTGTATATGAGTAACTAAATAACGAAACTTTAATAAAAAAAAAATAATCAAAATAAAATAGTGTTATTCCATGTGTTCGATGATTTATAAGACGGCAAACACTTTATTTGTTACATGCTGTTTTCTCCGTTTTGGCCGTCTTTTTATTTTAGACCCATAAAAAAAATAAAATAAAATCATAGTTAACGCGTAATTCCCTTGTAAATAAAAAATAAATGTATTTGAAATAGTCTCGACATAGACAGAAATATGTGGGAAACGAGATGTGCAGTGGGTCTATTTGATATCAGAGTGCAACTAGAACTGGGACGTTTGAACTACTCCAACAGTTTTTTTTTTCTTCTAACACAAGACATACTGAAAATTAAATGTTCAACAAAAATCAACTTTTACAGCTGCCGTTACGGGTATTTTTATTACACGATTCAAGTTTTACAATCGACAGGTCTTTTTTAAAGGTGTAGTTTTTTTCCAATAATAAAAGAAATTCCAAAAAATTGTTTAGACGAAAAAAAACACCACTTAAACTTATTCTGAGGGTACTATCGACTTTTCAAACAAGGAATTATTATTTTTAAGAGTAGAACCATTATAATTTTGTGCCCACAGTTTCTGGACACCCTGTATATGAGTAACTAAATAACAAAACTTTAATAAAAAAAATAATCAAAATAAAATAGTGTTATTCGATGTGTTCGATGATTTATAAGACGGCAAACACTTTATTTGTTACATGCTGTTTTCACCGTTTTGTCCGTCTTTTTATTTTAGACCCATAAAAAAAAATAAAATAAAATCACATAGTTAACGCGTAATTCCCTTGTAAATAAAAAATAAATGTATTTGAAATAGTCTCGACATAGACAGAAATATGTGGGAAACGAGATGTGCAGTGGGTCTATTTGCTATCAGAGTGCAACTAGAACTGGGACGTTTGAACTACTCCATCAGTTTTTTTTTTTCTTCTAACACAAGACATACTGAAAATTAAATGTTCAATAGAAATCAACTTTTACGGCTGCCGTTACGGGTATTTTTATTACACGAACTAATGTTTATAATCCGTGTATGACCAAACAAAAATACAAACACAAATATTTCCCACATCATTGGTCTACATATATCTCAAACACATTTCGTTGTATAATTTTCCGGTCCTCCCCGCACACCGCGTTTTATTTGTAAGTACCGTTCTTAAAAAAAAAATCGTATAAATAAAAATCACGATCCATGCATTATCAACGTAAATCGCTTTCTAAAAAAGAAAAATTGTACTCCAACAAGCTACAAGGGTTAATTTTTAAATTAAATGAACTACCTGCCATTACAGGCTCGGGATTTTTCTCCTTTTTAGCGTTAGACTGTGTAGATTGTGATGCTGGTTTTGAACTACTACTTGCGTTACTTTGCGCAGGGATCGAGGCCTGATTCGAAGTATTACTCGAGGAATTTTGAGTGGTCTGCTGCCTCTGATTTTGGTCCGAACGATTACCTTGCTGCTGCTGCTGGTCTCGGCGCTGGGGTGGCCTGTAATTGCCGCGGTATCCCCCGCGGTAGTTCATACCTCTGAAACCTCCTCTTCCTCGGTAACTGACAAAAAAAAAATAATGTGCTCGTGAAATAGTCGAAGGCAGGCTTAAACTTACAAAAAAATAACAAACTATCAAAAAAATTGAACCCCCATATTTTTACAATTTTTTAATTAGGTACAAACGATTTTTTTTAATGAGATTTTCTTGTAAAATCACTTTGTCCTTCGACTGTCTCACATTTTATCAAACACCCTGTATATCGAAATCTAAATTCGCGTACAGTCTTAAAAAAATTATGTTTATATGATCTACGAAAAAAAAAAAAATCTAGTCTAGCAGTAATCCATGAACGTACTGTATATATTTCCTATTATTAAAAAAATCATATTACTATCCACAATTTGAAACGAGAAAATCCGCAACTTAATTCGGAAACGTGCATTTTAAAATAAATCGCAAAGCACTCACTTTCCCCTCCTTGTAGCCGCCACGCCAAACGTCTCAGAGTTAAGCTTACGCTCGACACGCCAGTCAGTTCGTTGGGACTTGCCCTTGGCACGCTCCACAGCCTCGCAGGAGATCTTATCGAAGAACGACTTGCTCTTGTCGTAATACACCTCGTGTTCCTCCTCCTGTTCCGTTTCGCCCGCGCCCGTCTCGTTGCCAGAATCGTCCTTCTTGTCCACGTCGCCGTTGATCTCGCTCTTCGTGCTCGAACTTCCCGCCTCGTCCAGTTTCACCTGCAAAATCAAATCTCGTTAAAGAGAAATAGTCGTGGCGGGTTAAGTAGCATCTCGCGGGATCCCGAGATTTCGAAATCCGGGGATACCGGTTCGTATCGTGAGACCGACCTCAAACGTACCAAAAAGAAATCGTTAACTAGCGAGTTCGATCTCCGGATCCCGATATTCAAAAAATCCCGTCGCCACAGACATTTTTACGTTTCAAAACCCGAAATTGATTCCATAAATCACAAAATAACGCCAAAATCTGATTGCTGTGACTTTTTCTTAAGCTCTTGCCAGAAGAATTCGCAATTTCGGTTCGTACAGCTTCATTTCCGAAATTCCACGAACTTCATGCAATGTCGCGTCCATTTCAAACGTTGTCGAGGTGAAACTCGGCATAAAGGGTTCGGTTTCTTCGGAACGAATCTAACAATGCCCCGTTATTTTTCTACGAGTTCTGATTAGCCAAATATGTATCAAGGGTGTATATGTATCAAGGGGTATAGAGGCTCTCCGACTAGTGCTGGAAAATGTTCGAGCAGTTACTCGTGGAGAATTTTCGTTAAGCACAAACAAAGATAAATGTAAGTGACATGTGAATTTATGTTCTGCATGAAATAATTTTTATAAAATTAAGAAAAATACGGATATTTTACAATTTTTAAAAAATAAAACATCATTTTCATCAAAATGTTGAATGTTCTCTCCAATATCCTACAAAATGTAAAGTATTTTAAAAAGTAGTTCATTTGAATCGTGTCAGATGCAACCGCCTCATCCTTAATAAACGTACGCAAACCAAAACACTGAAATTCTTTAAATAATAATAATAATAATAATACCTTGCCCAGCTGACTCCTCAACTCCTCGAATTCGGTGTTGGCCTGCTCAAAGTCATAGTCGTTTTCGAACTTCAGCGTGTTCTTAGGCTTTCCGCTGCCCTGATTCTGTTGATTCTGGTTGGACCTGTAGCCGCCTCCGCCGCCGCCACCCCGGGACCTACCCCTGGGCCTCGCGGGTCCCCTGTTGTTGCTCCAATTGCCGCCCCTCTGATTGCCCTGGCTGTTTTGATTGCCCTGGTAACCCTGGTACCCCTGTCCCTGGTAGCTCGCCTGATTGTTCTGGTTGCGGTTCGGCCCGGACCTGTTCTGGTTCTGTACGGTATTTAGTTTATTAGTTTTGAGAAAAGAAAAAATAAAACGGCGATTTGAAATACACGCATTTTTGGAAAATTTCATAATTTTTGCTTAAACGATAATTATGCATGTTAGATTTGGAATTATTTGAAAATTTTGTTATATTTCGATTTAGGTATTAATTTTAAATAAATTAGTGAAATAAATTTTACATCACGTCTTCTACACAAAAAACGGCAAAGTCCAAATGGCCAAACTGACAGAGAGCAACCTGCTATTACATCGCTACTACCGACCGAAGACCCGAAACATTTTTTAAACAGATGCACAAAAAAAATATTTTTACTATTTAACCCGATGTCCGAACAACTTTTTCTCCATCTTTTCGGGAAATACGAAAAACCCGCAAAACCGTCGCAATTGCCCCGCCCTGCACAGTAACGAAATAAATAATCACCTGGACGCCATCCCTAGAATCTCTCCTTTCCCTGGAGACCCTCCTCTGCTGGTTGCGTTGCCCCGGCGGCTGAATTGGTTTAACCACCTTCTTGTCATCCCGTTTACTGCCTCCCGCCTGTACTCCCTGATCGGCAGTAGGAGATTTCCTGGAGCCCAAGCTGGCCGGCGTCGTGCTCCTCGATCCTCCGATTAAATCTAAAACAGACGCTACGAAACTGAGACGTCTAGAAGGTTTAAAAGCCGATACGCTTCATAAGACATTAGGCAAAGCTACAGGCATTCCCACAAAACCTAATTTTTTATGTTAATTTACTCGTGCAAGCGAAATAATAAGTTTTTGCATCGGCGGACGAGGATACGGTCAGTGTTGAACGTTGAACGTTCGTCAAGTGGTATAGAAATAAACATTTTCGTCTTTTTTTTGTTTCAATGGTAGTGAAAAATTTCTTTGACTCAAATAATTTTTCAAATTCCAAACAAAGAGTTTATAAAACTTGTTTACAAACATTTTGCAATTCTGCGATTTCTGCTATCATTGACAATTATCAACAATCAAAGGCGAACCGTCGACTTTTATGTAAGCAAAACTTATAAATCTGATCCAAACTCTATTATGTTGAGGATTTAAGGATTTTTCAAGTATTAAAACTACAGAGATGTTGCTTACAGCTTCTATTCTATTTTTCTAACAATTTTCTTTGGCGATGACAAAAAAAGCTCTACCTTAAACTTCATACGATCAGACAAACTAATAAAATATTAACCAGCATATCTAGTAATAGCTAAAAGTAATTAATAATTCCAAAAATACAAAATAAAAATATTATTTACTCTACAACGCATTATTTCGTTTTTATCAACAAATAAATCTGATTTTTGACAGCGACTAAATTAGATTTATATCAAAAAAGCTTCGCAATGACTAATAAAATAATGAATTACAAAAAACCGGAATACAAAAATTTACTGACAAAAAAAAACGTTTAAAATAAAAACTGAAACTGTAAAACCTAAAAAAAGTACATAAACATATTTATTTAGGTATGACGACATTTTTATGATTATAAATTATTTCCGTTACTGTCAAAACGAGACGTCTGTACAAAAATACACCAAGTCTTGTTTAAATCGGACAAAGCGTTTTAAAATCATTTAAAAAAAAAAACAAAAATGTTTTGTCAACCTAATACCATCTGACAGCTAAACGAAGCAAAGCCTAAAAATAAGTTGCATTTGAAACAGCATATTTTACGGTTCCCGACATGCACCAACGGTTTTTTCTGAATCATCCTGTATATAATAATTAAGCAAAAAAATAACATGTCTGAGCATTTTTCGTTACCGTCTTTATTCAATTTGTTAATTTTCCCCACACGTTAGGCGTTATTTATTTTAAGAAAATTGCCGTTTGGCATATATATTCAAAATGAAACGACAAAGGGTTAAAAGAAAACGCGATATAGGCGAAAGAACTAGCACCAACAAATACCATCAGCGAATCAAATTAAAAGCAATAAAAACTTAATTTTTAATTTACCCAAGATTCCAACGGTTCCAAAACTACGCAAGCTCCAAACGTTATTAGCGCTTACCACTCTAAAGCCATGTTAAACTTAGAACTACTCTACATGTACAAAAAAAAAAGACTCCGAGCGAAGCCACACTAATCAGCGCCCAGCAAATTAAATAAATTCTCATTTTTTACCATGGTCGTTTGTAGGCCGAGGTGGCTCAACAGTGGGAGAAAGGACAGAGGATGTTGGTTCTGGCCCCGGTATTATCAACTCACTTGGCTTACCGCCGCCGAGACCTCTGGCGTCCCGCTGGATACCAAGACCGGGACCCATTCCGGCGTTCATACCTCCCAACAGTCCTATATTGCCGTAGGCGCTGGCGAACTGGCCGATCTGAGGCCCCATCGGGCCCAATATGGGATGAGTCTGGAAAGGCTGCCCGCCCAGGGTCGGCGGGGCGGACAGCTGCATGATGGCCGGATCGTTGAGCGGCTGCGGGTGCGGGTGGGTGACACTGTTCACCACCCTTATGTCCTTGATGTCGGAGCCCCTGAATAAGATGTAGTCGTAGACTTGATTTTGGGCCGGTACGGGATATTGGGTCTCTCTGTCTTCTGTCCCGAAGGAACGCACTATAAAAGAGGGGAAATCGTGCTTAAAAAAAAAACAGCAGCATCCGAATTTTTTTCTTTTCGACACTGACATTTCATAATAAACATGCAATACATTTCTTTGAAATTGCAACTGAAACCAAAAATTTATAACATACTTCAAGTTCAGTCACCTCAAAAATTTGTTATTACATCAAAGTAAATCGATTTGTTTACATATTAATACAAGTATGCATAAATTATCAGTATTGTGATCAAAAGAACAATTTTGTGAATTCAGTAGCCTTGCAATTAAAACCGATTAAAAATTGTATACAATTCGAAATACGTGTTAATAGTGATCTGATAAGTTGTAAAATATACAACAAAAAATAATATTTTTTATACTTCCAACTTTTTTTAATCAAATTCTTAAAGATACGTTTTATATACATGGCATATGACCTAATAAATAGTTAATTAGTTGTCTAGAATTTGCAATCATTTAGAATATTACAAATGATTGCAATTTTACGAGAACTTTTTTTTGTGTTATTTGTACACAACATAAATTTACATGTTTACTGTTTTATATGGTGAAGCTGTAATATGTGAAATGTTAAAAATAGAGGCATTAATTATAGAACTACCTACTTATATGACAAATATATAAATTTATACAAGGCAGATAATATAAAATATCTTCTTACCGGATGCCAAAGCTATTGTGCATTCTTGAGGATCAACTGTAAATAAACGTCCCTCATACCGGATATCTGCCTTCGATATTAAACTTATTTTGGAGCCTAACTCCGGCATTCCAGTTGTCATCTTGAAACAAAACTTTTTATTATACTTTCAGGACGATGTCAACCGATTCTCCTAGCAGACTAAACAATTTTACTACAATTCGAACAATCGTCAATGGCGTACCCAAAACAGCTGGAAGAAGTGACGTATCATCGTCAGGTGTACCAACAACGGATCGCCTTTTCCCTATGGGTAATTTTCTATTACGATTACGTAAACTGTCAAAGTCAAAAATTAATTTTTTTGACTTCTTGTGAATGCAAGTTTGGCTTTATATTGTCTAGGTTTTTGAAAAACATTTAATGCAATCGGCTTAAGTGTTGTATTCCTCTAGAAGTTAGCCCCCACTCGAAAGTCTCCCGGTAACTAATCACCTTCCGGATAACATGGCTGCAACTGTGGGTCGATTTTGTGGAGCTGGTCTCTTAAAATCATCTAGCACGCCTTCGATTGCCCAGGTAATGTTAATTTTTCTTTTATATTTGTTTGCATTAAATAAACCTCAACGCCTTGAGACACTTTACAAAACCCAACCTAAAACAAGTGTTATGTCATCTTCACATTTTTTTTTTGTCTTAAAATCTAATGTACCCTTTACAAATATAATTTTATTTTACAGATCAGCTCATACTCTACGAGAGATTGGTCTCGAAGCCGAAAAGCTGTAAGTAGTGTTCAAGTTCTCAGATTTCTAAATTACAAAATTATTTCAGCTTTTAGGAAGCCTAGGTGTACTAGCTGGAGGTACGGGGGCCATATTATTTGCCCTCGATAGATCGGTGAAGGCTTCTGATCTGGAATTGCATCCACCTAAAAATGTATGGGGCCACACTGGCGTTTTCAGTTCCCTCGATCATGCCAGGTGAGTGTTTATATTTTTTTACGTTGCTGCTTTACTGATAAAAAAAATCAAAGTAACATTTTTGTATTTGAATGCTATGAACTTCATAATCAATTTGTTGATTGAAACCGCTATTTTATGATACCAAAATTTTTTTTCAAAAACTTTTCGAAACGGGTAAAAGGAAAAATGTGAAGGGACCTTTTGACAGTTGCGATTTGTCAATTTGACAACTAATGTATGTGTTATCAATGTACGTAAATTAATTTGCTTATCTTATGAAAAAAGTTGTTTCCACTTGTTTTTTGCACGGATCAGTACTCGAAAAATTATAACGTAACACATTAAACGGCAATACAATATTTCCAGCATTCGAAGGGGCTACGAGGTGTACAAACAGGTTTGCGCGGCTTGTCACTCGATGAGGTTCATAGCATATCGTAATTTGATCGGAGTGTCTCATACCGAGGAGGAAGCTAAAGCTGAGGCAGAGGAACAAATGATGACCGATGGACCCGACGAATCCGGGAACTTTTTCCAGAGGCCTGGAAAGTTGTCCGATTATTTCCCCAATCCGTACGCTAATGAAGAGGCGGCGCGCGCCGCCAATAACGGCGCTTTCCCCCCGGACCTTAGCTACATTACGTCTGCCCGTCACGGAGGTAATTGTTTGGGTTATAGACAGGGTGTTTGGGAGCTATGAGCAGACAATTTAGGTGATGAGTTTGTGAAAATAATTCAGTATTAATGGAGAAGGCTTAATAATTAATGTTTTGCCGTAATTTTTTTTCAGTTAAGTGATGTTTTTCAAATTTATTTGCTCATGGTTACCCGATGCCTTGTCTTAATGTTAATTTCATCCTATTCGTAAAATTTATTTTCTTGTTTAACTTTAAGCGTTGAATTGGGAACGACAATGATGTGGAAAAAGATGTATTTTTGACGAGATTTTTTCCATATCTTTGACGTAGTTAAATTAGTTAAGTTAATTGTTGCTTCTAACACATCATAATTTCGTTTTCTCAATTTCTGTCATGAAAACTGATTTTTTTTTAATCCTTTTTTTCATAAATTTTCACACAAATTTAATAATGACGACACACAAACACCGTACCGTCGCAAAACACTAAAATAAATAACTTTATAAGATTATACATGTTGATAGAATCTCAAATTAAACAGTGTTTTAAAGAAATGCTAACAGTCACATTATTTATTAAATACTTTTAAAGTCTTGCTAAAGCAAATGAATGTAGTACATATTACTAAGGTATTAGTAGAATTACACTGGTATAGTTTTGATAGTATCTTTAATAATAAGGGAGATATAGGTAAGGTGTGCCTAGTAACGATAATTATTAAACAAAGCATATTTTGCATAGCCAACTATATAGAACATTGACACCAGTTTTTGTTTAGCAATGCATTTGTTTTAAATCATGGCCTATTTTATCTGATTTTCTTTTTTTTATAACGGTCTTATGTAATTGTACAGGGTCTCCCGAAATTAATGCAACAAAATTTGGTCACAGATCCTTAAGACAAAAAGCTAAAAAGCCATTGAATTTAGAAACCTTTTCGTCTTTTGTCACTTTTTTCGTAAAACACAATGCTTTCTAGAAAAATGGCAAAATGTGGTCAAATTCATATCGTGATTTGCCATTTTTCTCGAAAACATTGCATTTTACGAAAAAAAATATAAAGAGACAAAACAGTTTCTAGCGAACTAATAATTTTTATGGAATTCAAATATGCGACCAAATTTTTTTGACCACAAAGATAAGGAGGTTCACGAAAAAGTGTCTTAAGGTGGTTCCCCCGGCAAAAAACGTAGCGTAGGGATTTCAGGGGGCTGTAACTCCGAAAGACCGGGCCGCTTGGCAAAAAAAATACCGGTCTCTAAATTCGTCTTAAGAATTTGGGTCCAAATTTTGTTGCATTAATTTCCGAACACCCTGTATTACTTTTCGAGATAAGTATGAAAAACTATCAGAACACACTTAACGTTTTAGAAAAAAGACACTGCCTGATACTTTTTAATCAGTAATTTCCTTATTTCAGGTGAAGATTACATCTTCGCGCTATTGACCGGTTATTGCGATGCTCCCGCTGGGATCGCCCTTCGCGAGGGTCAGTACTACAACCCGTACTTCCCTGGCGGGGCCATTTCGATGGCCCAGGCGCTGTTCAACGAGGTCATCGAGTATTCGGACGGCACCCCCGCCACCGCCAGTCAGTTAGCTAAAGACGTCTCCACTTTCCTTAAGTGGACGGCGGAACCGGAACACGACGATCGTAAAAAGATGCTGCTTAAATCCATAGCCATCTTGTCGTTACTCACCGCCCTGACTTACTACATAAAAAGGTTTAAGTGGATGAACATCAAAACGCGTAAAATCGAGTTCAGACCGAAGAAGTAAGCCTGCGAGGACGTTCCGTATTTAGCATGACATGTCATTACTGATAGTTGGAAATTTATTTAATTAAGCTTAATGATTTTATTACGATGTATATATTTGGAATTCAATAAAAATGGGTACAGTTCATCCGGTACTGCCAACCGTTTACAGGTTTTATTGTTTATGTCCAGTGTTTGATGTCACGTAATTTGTTACAATAAATTGTACGAAACTCGATTAATTTTTTAATAAAACCCAAAAGACGTCAATTTGTTAATGTACGAATTTGTACATGAAGCAATCGTCCGCACCTCAGTGAGCGATCGTATGCCGAACACATCTGGAAATAATAATTAATCGAAAAATGTGTTTTCGAATATTTAAGCATATACAGCAAAATAAATATTACGTTTGGCGAGAGAGAGAGAGAATATTACGTACCTTCATGGTAGGTATCTCTCTCCTCGCCTTATAATGCGCCCAGCCGTTGGGAGGACACCTCCTGTAGTATACGCTCGAAGTGAGTAATCGAACGCCATTTTTTCATAGTCTTCCTTGAACCTCCCAGAGCGACTTTGACAATTTGTACCCAGGTTTTTCGAGCGTGCTCTCTTGAACTAAAATAATGCCATTGTTATACCGGAAGTCGCCATCTTCTTCTGTATTTTAAACGAATCACCCTATATATTTTTGCATATTTGGATTCTATACGTAATTTTAGGGCTTCACTATATTTATCTCTAATGGTCTTCGAGATATATCAGTTCTATCAAAAAAGGTCGCTTTTCGATAACCTAATTCAAAATTGCCTGTATTTTACATTGTTAAACACTGTAGAGAGAAAAAACGATAGGTTGGGTATTCGCTCTATCTCTCTAATCATTGTGCAAGGACTGGCGTTAGCCAATCATGTGTCTGCGCGAGAGAGAAAGGATGCACTCGAACTATCTCTTTCTCTCTCTGTTACTCGTCTACAAAGTCACCATAAGTATGATTACTCCATGTAGTGTATACTCTAAGACTCAACGAAGTGTAAATTTTATTTTTAAGCCTTCATATTTGTATCTAGAACACTCTCAGATCTCGATATTAACTTAATTTGTTTTCTTTTCAGTTCTTGTAGCAGTTTTTTTATCTGATTGGTATAACTTGGCAGTTGGTACGGTGATGTACAACTACAACGTGAAGTAATCTTCACACCAACCTAACAGCGTAAAATTTATAGAATTGTCAAGCTGTAGTAAAAGTTATTGGGCTGCATGATCGTAAAATATAAAATATACTTTTACCTTAGCATTTGAAAGTATTGGGTTTTTGTGTATTTTAAGGGTGGAAAATAGCCATTCGTTTTAATTGTATTTCTATAATTACCAATCTGAAAAAGGTAATAATTATTGGTGATTCATAATGGCGACTCCGTCAACCGGTGTAGGTAAGAGATTTATTATTTTTATTTATTCGGAGTACGTTATTATAATATTTGGGGAGTATGTGCAGGATATTACTAATTTTTGAAATATTCCAGTGGTTCCTCGAAATTTTCGTTTGCTTGAAGAATTGGAAGCAGGACAAAAGGGTGTCTCTGATGGGACAATTAGTTGGGGTTTAGAAAACGATGATGACATGACACTCACGCATTGGATGGGCATGATTATTGGCCCCCCTCGGACGCCATACGAAAATAGAATGTACTCGGTAAAAATTGAATGCGGCCAGAAATATCCGGATGATGCACCAACAGCAAAATTCATATCTAGAATTAATATTAACTGTATCAATAGCAACACTGGTGTGGTAAGTTGTGAATTTATATTGCTAACGTATCAAAAGTCTTGTACAAAATAATTGCTCTTTCGGTTACTAAGTCGGACGGGAGCCAAAGATCTTTCCAAATGTGTTTAACACGTGCTAGAACAAAAATTTGTTATCAGGATAATGTTTAAACAAATAGTTTTGGAATATGTTACCCATGTTTATACTTTTTTGGTGGTACCTTGATTTTGCTGTGAAATATGACTTAACATATTAACTAAATTCAAAAAAATTTGCGTCCACGAAATGGGGCAACATAGAATAACCTAAAATATTTTGTGTTGATTTATAAGTAGTAGAATTTCTTTGAATTCCTTAAATGTACCATAGTTTTTCTTCATTGATGCACTCCGCCGATGTCATTGTTCTTTTTCTCGGACTGTTAAATCGATTTTCAGGTGGACAACAGGCAGGTCCCTGTATTAGCGAGATGGCAGAGAGATTACACTATTAAAACGGTACTGCAGGAGTTGCGCAGACTAATGACGTTGAAAGAGAACATGAAGCTAACACAGCCTCCCGAGGGTAGCTGCTTTTAGCCCTTAGGTGAACGGAGTACGTCCCTTTTGCCCTCTGTCGCAACCTGTCCTATAAATGTGGATACCTGCACTACCCAGTCATGTCGTCTGCTCTAGCGAATCCTACTTTCAAGGTTTATACAGTTGTACCTACTTTCAAAAATATCACACCCGTAATTTTCGTCATCGTGGATTTTTAAAAAGTCGCAGCAAACGTTCACAGTCAACAGGAGTGTACAGCTTTATAAGCCCGACCGCTAAATTATTTTTAAGTCTTATACATTATTATATTTGTTGTAAGTTTATATCGTCAAGCATTTATAGGCTGTACCGCTTATACAATTTATGTTCAAAATAAATGTAGGATGTGTTGCCAATAACTGAGCAGGTTTATTTTTATTATTAACGTTGAACAACTTTGTGATTGTAAGGTATAATCAAATACATACATTTGTAACTATCTAATTTTTATTATTTTGTATCTTAAAGAATATTACAATTTTATTTATAACTCATATGATTGAATAAAAATGTGTAAAATCTTCATTTTCAATTTGATGCAAACGAAATTGATTGCAAATTCGGATCTAAACTGTAACAAAAACTCGGAAGACATGTCGCTTATACTTTTCACAGTGATGGTGAGATATAATCTGCAAAGTATGTGTCATCTTAAATGTCGGTGTAAATTGATGCCTACTGACAAAATGACCTACTAATCTGTAGGTACTACGAGAGCATGAACTTGTTTTTAGTGCACAATAATATTGCAATTTTTCTGTTATTCTTTATTTCTAGTGAACAATTTTTATCGCCATAAAATATGGAGCTTCTAAGATTGTAATAAACCACATTTTAAATTTTCATTAAGAATAATGACGGTTCACCAAAAACAACTGTTTTAGAACGCAATTCAAATTTGTTCTTGATAAACAATAGCCTTCTAGATGTATTTTTTGCACCAATTACATTAATTCAGTTGGCGAACCATGGCCTGCTACGATTTTTCATAAAACGAGTTAAGGATTTGTTTTACTAAAAATCTGGCTACACAATATTTGTCAGCGTCAGTAACAAAAACCCTTATATCTTAAATATCTTCAATTTAAAGTGCAGTATAGTTTTTTTAGAAGACTTAAAATTTATTCCCGGGTAAGTAAAAAAATCCAGGAGGCACTGAAAATGACAAATGACAATTACTGACACTGCTGACTATAAGATTATATAGCCCACTTATGTATTTTCTTAATTTTAGCAAGGAGGTACAAATTTTTAATATTAGGCGTATATAACTCAACGCTATTTACTAATTGTAATCAAGTCAGTAAAAGGCAAATTTTTATCAGGTATTTCAACTGCCTCCTTGATTTTTTTGTTTTAATTTCTGTTTTATGGCCCCCAAGGAAGATTAATAATACGAGTGTCTGTGAAATCATTTTGTTGGACTGAAGTTCCATCCAGTGCAAAAAAACGTAGCGAAATAAAAGGAATTGGCACTTACAGTTGCTGGACTGGGTATTTTTATTACATGACCTAATTTTTGTGTTCTGCATGTCAATTATTTTCTGGGAAAAACAATGTCTTTCACCATATTTCAAACTTTAGGTATTAAAAATGCACAAATATTCGAATGAATTATATTAATTATAAATTACAAAATATGTACATAATTATTTTTAATCTGTCCTCCATACAGTTTCCACTTCATCAGTTCTATACCGTTGGGTTATAAAGGAGTCTTCCCACTGCATCCGCACCCCCGCCTTAAACATCTCGGCTCCGGCGTGAGCTATCATGATTCCGTTATCAATACAGAACCTTTCGTCGGTGGCAAACAACTTTGCCCCTCTCTCCTTACACATCTGACCCATCATTTCCTGTAATCGAAGGTTACACCCGACCCCTCCGACTATTAACACTTCCGTGGAATTGCAGTGTGCCAACGCCCTCTCCGTGGTCTCCACTAGCATAGCGAAAATGATCTCTTGTAACGAGAAACACAAGTCTTCCGGCGTATATCCCGATTTTAACAGATTATTAGTTCGTTCTTCCATAAACGTTAAGATACCGGAAAAACTTACGTCCATCCCTTTCACGCAATACGGAAGTTGTACATATTTGGAGCCTTTCTTGGCTAGCTGCTCTACGTTATACCCAGGACTGGGGTCATTGGAAATCTTCAGTACTCTAGCGAATCTATCTAAGCAGTTGCCGACTGCAATATCTATGGTTTCGCCAAAAATTCTGTAGCGTTTTCGGGCGTATGCTATTATCTGCGTGTTGCCTCCACTGACGTACAATACAGTGGGATTTTTTGCTCCCGTGATGAGCCTTCCCATTTCAATATCTACCTTCGTTAAGGACAGTCAACAATTTATAAAATTTTTTTTTCGAAATGGAAAATCAATTCCGCATCAAAGCTAAATAAAAATAATTATTAAAGGATACGGCCAATACAGTGATTAACCCCTAAAATAGGTTTATTCCATAACTGAGCTACAGTTCTCGCAACAACTGCAACCGTAGCTAATGGGGCACCCATTCCGGGACCTTTTGTATAGCAAACTACATCTATTTCATCCGGTTGTAAACCCGATTCTGTTAAAGACTGCTTTAATATCGACATAACTTTCTCCCTGTGGTGTTGAGCCGTTTCTTTGGGCAAAAACCCTTCACCTGGTGGTGTGATGTAGGTTGTTCTACAGTTAGCTAGCACTTTACCATCTTTTATTATACCTACACCCAATTTATTTGCACTTCCCTCAAATCCTATTGCTGTCACCATGTTGAATTATTTCAGTATTTGTTAGGGATATCTTCTGTAGAAAACAATGTAAAAAAATATCAAAACTATTATTATAAAAATTTCTTGCGAATCCTCTTTCGACTTCTAATTTAAGGTTATGTTATTTATGAGGTTAGGAGGACACAAAGCGGGTACGATGAATATGAGTAGCTTTCCTTTTGTCAGCAGCACAGAGTTACAGTACTAAATCAGTAGCTCCATGCTGTTAATAACTACTATATTTGGAAAAAACGAGAGATACTATCAAAAATTAAACTTACTCAGGAAATGTCCAAGCTAAATACATTTCTATATAAATTGTCAGATCTCTGGTTGTATTTATTAACACATTGAGTAGTTCTGAGGAGTTCAAATGTATGAAAGGAAAACTTTATGATACATGACATTCCGCAAAGGCCGTCCGTCTCTTTTATTGTGGTGATCAGTGATTGTTCGGATTCTTTTGAGTGTATGGCAATAAGTTAGGTTAAGTTTAGAAAAATAATTTGCGTTTTCTTTTAAATAACGTAAAGACTTGAGTTATGAAGGTACTTTACCATTTCCTGAATTAATTTCAAGTATATAAAAATGGCTCTGTCGTTTTGTGGAAAACGAATTTTATTAGGAAAACCTTTGGGGGTATCTTCGAAAAGGCTTCAACATGGCTATATTATATTGTATGTTTGTATTTACTTTTATTACTTTCAGTATATGAATAATTGCATTATTTTCAGAGTTCCAGAGATTGGCGAAGAGTCACCTGAAAAGAGTCCCTTTTTTCGAAATGATGGCCTCCCCGAATTTAATAACATTACAATAGAAAATTGCAGAGCTGCAGTTGCCAAACAGACACTTGATTTTGAAGCAGGTGTAAAGCAGATAGCAAAGAACCTGACCCTGAAACCATGTGATAATGTTTTTGATGAAGTTTTCAAGCCTCTAGAAGAACTCGGCACATCATTAGAAAAGACGTGGGGTTTATCGAAAACTTTGTACTTGGGCAATAGCACCTTGATGCCCACGTCAAGTTACATGTCTATTCACGATCGTGCTAGAAGAGCCAGGGTAACAAAGTACAATAATAAAGAGATTTACGATGCTGTTAAAACTGAACTCGAAACCGACAGAGAAAGAAGTGGTGAGGAGAATAGATTATTACGAAAATTCTTTATAGAAGGAAAGTTAAACGGTTTAGAATTGGATTCTCATGGTGTAATTATTCTAAGTGGATATTTAAACAAACTGGCTCAAGAAAAAACCATATTTAAACAGAAAACGGAAGTATCAACAAAGGCGTTTTTCCATACCATAACCGATAATAATATAATAAGGGAATTTCCAGATAAATTAGTGAAAGCCATATGTTCAGATCCGAACAATCCCTTAAAAGGACCCTGGAAAGTAACCCTAGCGCCTCATGTCTATATGCCCGTCATGAGGTATTGCCCCGACCCGCAAGTCAGATGGAATCTGTGGCAAGCATTAGTAGGTAGGGGATCTGCCTACAGAGACAGGGAATTAAAGACGAGTTTAAACTTGGAAGAAATTAGATTTATAAGACGGGATATAGCGAAATTATTAAACTACGATTCATACGCTGCGATGTCGATGGAAACTAAAATGGCGGGTAGTGTATCTAAAGTCCAAGACACGTTGCACGGATTGCTACAAAGCGCCAGACCCGCTCAAGAGGAAGAGTTGAAAAACTTACACCAATTCGCCTCGGAGAGAGGGTTCAAATCAAGCAAACTAGAATTGTGGGACGTTCCTTACTGGAGAAGAAAACAGTTGAAATCGTTGTACGATTACGAGGAAGAAACTTTCAAGGAGTACTTTCCCCTACCGAAGGTATTAGAAGGTTTAATTCAGTTGTGCGAGAAATTATTCAATATTGTCATCAAGCAACGACACAACGTTTCGACCTGGCATAGAGATGTCAGGTTTTACGACATCTTCGAAAATTACAGCAGCGCACCCGTGGCCGGGTTTTACTTAGATCCGTACGCCAGATCCGAGGAGAAAATAAGAATCGAAAGCAACGGTTGGATGGTTGGAATCCAAAACCACAGCCGCATTGCCAACACCAAACCGTTAGCAGCACTGATCTTCAATTTCGATGCTCCGACCCCAGAAAAAGACTCGTATCTCACGTTCACGGAAGTTAAGTCCTTGTTTTACAAATTCGGTCATGCGATGCAACATTTGTTGACGCGAACCGACTACGCCGAATTAGCCGGTTTGTCAAACGTGGAATGGGACGCGGTCGAAATTAGCGGGAACGTCCTGGCCCACTGGCTTTATAACAAAAACGTGATAGATAGTATATCCTGCCACTGTAACAGCGGGGACACCTTGCCACAACAGAAATTCCAAACTTTATTGGCTGTCCACAAGCACATGGCTGGATTGGACTTGTCCCGTGAGCTATACTTGTCGGCTTTAGATTTAGAGTTGCATTTAACTAAAGACTTCTGGCTGGACATTATAAAAAGGTTGTGGCCGCAATACAGATGTTTCAAGTTGCACAAAATCGATTCGCATCCGCTGTCTTTTACTCAGATAGTCTCGGAAGAATGGGGAGCTGCTTACTTCAGCCACGTGTGGGCTCGAATGATAGCTGCCGACGTTTATAGTGCTTTCCACGAAGTGCAAGGGGACGAACAACAAATTTTAGACGTGGGGAAACGATTCAGAGACACGTTTTTAGCTTTAGGCGGCAGCGTACATCCTAGTCAAGTCTTCAGAGAGTTTCGTGGGAGAGACCCGTCTCCCAAGGCATTGCTTAGTTCTTTAGGGTTAAAAAAAGTGAGTTCCAAAAAGCCGATTTAATTAGTAGTTTTATTTGTGTATGTTGTTATTAATGAATACAGTAAATACATAAAACCTTAAATGGAATTGTCTATCGTTTTTAAAACATCTGCAAAGTGATCGTCCGGCATTAATTTTAAACTAGTTTTTATTTCTTCTATGCCTGGTCTGGTGAATCCAAGTTTACAGAGTGCTTCCCCTCTGCGACCTATACACAAAGCCCTTTCCTTTAGATTAAGTGTGACCTCGGGTTTTAAAAGGTCTAAAGCAGTGCTACAATCTTGAATCGCCTTATTGAAATTGCCTAGAAATGGAACAATTCATTTAACCACATATGACATACTTTATAGGTTATTTCTCACAGTATGACCTATTGCAGTAGGTACAAAATACTGCTTCATGAGTGTAAAGTGTAACAAATATCATTTACTACTAATAATTTGTTGTATACACCAGTGGGCCATCAAAAGGTAAATTGTTTAAATTTAAGAACATCTACTACAATTTGCCAGCTAGCTCTGTAATTTCTAGTTCTATTTAAAACTTCGAAATATTGTACGCATTGTCCAAAATGACGTTACTTACCTACTAATAGATGTGCTTCAGACCTAGCGATATGTAAATCGACAAACTTTGAAGCTATTTTAATGCCAAAGCTGTAGGCACTTATGGCTCCCAAGTAGTTCTTATTTTTTAAGAACTGATCCCCTTTGGCCTTAAGGAACTGAGGATTCCTTTCTTCCGGTCGAATGTCTTCGCTTATAAAACCAGCCGACCTGCGTGCTTGGGTTTGTTTCATCAACCACTCGTTTTCTTCGTCTAATTTAGACTCCCTACTGGGCGTTGGGAATTCGCGTGGAGTGAAATCTATTTCTAATGTCTTTGTACGTCTTGGTTGTGGAATAAATTCCGGTGATTTTATTGTTTTCAATGGGTGAGTGATTGTTTTCTGTTTGTTACTGTTGGTTAAATTTTGTTTGTTGCCTTTTTTGATTTTTTTAAAATTTTCTCCAATTCCGGCTGACCACTGATCGATGTCTCCTAATGCATTTGTTTTTTCCCAGTTTTTAATCTCTTCTATTTTTTCTCTTTCATTTGAATCCAATTCAATTTGTTCCCGGACTGCCACCCGTTTCAGTTCTGCTTTTTTATTTATCTTCTCTTTCTCTTGTTCTTGTATACGTACATATTCTTCCTCCAATAATTGCTTTTTTAAGTCCAGTTTTTCTTTTTTCGGTATATCGGGTTGGAGCGATTCCCATGTAATGTTTTCATTTTTCTTTAATTCAAATATAACTGTCGTATCGGTTATTTTACATTGACTGTTGTGCGCATCTATAGGATGTAACAATATTGCCTCAAAAAAATACTTTTCAAATTTTACTTTTATATATCGTTTTGAAATAGTAATATCTGCATTACGTTCTAATACTCCTTTCAGTGCAACAAAGATCATGATATCATTTGTAGTTTGTTTCCATTTGTAATCATTTATTATTATAGGCATTATTATTTGAGGCTAATGCCACTTTTGAAGCAAATGTAACTGCTTTATCAATCAAATAAGTTTCCATGGTTTCAAGATTACATGAAAAGTATCAATTTCATAACGAAAATCTATGACCCTCTGTATATTTAAAGTACGGAATGAATGCGGACCAATCGAAACACAGTTCTTGCCGTCTTTTTTCGCCAATCAAGTTGGACGAACATCAATTTAACTGCATTTTGATTGGTTGAACGAATTTGACAGATCTATAAAGTGCGGAATCTAGGATATTTGTTCAGTGATTGACAGATGTTTCTCACTTTGATGGTCTATGGGTCAGAAGTTACGTGATTGGTTATTCTTGGCCTGAATTTGGATTGTTTGGTTATTTCCTCATATGATTTTGACTTTACAAGTCTGTGCTTGTTGAATTTTGTAATCAAAAGTCAAAACCAACGGCCTGTTATTGTGATTGTCATAAAGTGTGCTCCATTGTCTCCATTTCGTATTTCGTTGAAACGTCATGGAAGTTTAACATTTAAATTTTCATAAGTTAATGTCAAAATTGTATTACGTTTTGTGGTCAAAATCATACAAAGTTCCCAATTCGCATACTTGATAATTAGGTGAATTATGGCAGAAGCTGTAAACAGTGAAAGCAGTAATAATGATGACCTCAAGGAGAAATGTTAGTATATCTTCCTTGGAGTAACTGAAATAGGTGTTAACTGTTAATTTTTTTTAGGTGACAGTCCAGAATGTGCTGTTTGTCTTCAACCGTGTGTGCACCCAGCACAACTACCTTGCGGGCATATTTTTTGTTTTCTGTGCGTAAAAGGATTTGCGAACCAAAACAAGAAATGTGCTATGTGCAGGCAGGAAATACCGAGGGATTTCATCGATCAACCGAATTTATTACAACTCCCGGTGTCACTTGATAACGCACAAGGGTTCGATGGAGGATACCAATGGTTTTACGAAGGGCGAAATGGTGAGAATCTCAAACTTTTATGTAAATAAATAAAATAATCGGGTTTAAGGTTGGTGGAAGTATGATGAACGAGCCAACGAGGATATCGAAGAGGCCTATAATCTCTCATTATCCAGCTTCGAATTAATACTTTGTGGTGAATTATATGTAATTGATTTCGTATCTAATTGTCAGTATCCTAAGAAAAGTCCTTGTAAAAAAAGAAGTATTAAGCGAGATAAGTCTGATAATTTGGTTGTGAAAGGCGTTGCTGGATTACGATAGTTTTTATGTAAAATAGAGTATTTATGAAACCTGATGCACGAAATAAAGAATATTAATTATATGTAAATAACCAAGTTAGTGTTTAGCTTTACGTAACGTTTGCAGGGAAATTATATGTTACGAAAATTTCTACAATTTAGATTTAGTAATTTTTTTTCATCTTATTGTATTTGTATATGAATAAAACAACGTGAGTTGTGAAATTTTTCTTAAATGTGTCTTATTTTTTGGCTTTTATTGGAATATACGGCATATTGTAATGTATTTTCTGGGACGGAAAAGAACAACATAAATTCTCTTATAATGGAAAAAAAAATAATTTAGAAGATTTTTTTTTTAAGGATGGCAGAACAAGGAAATTGCCTTCGTTTCGACAGTATCCAAATTACAGAAATGTTAAAATTCGAGGATTCCTTTAATTTTTCGTGGTGTATAATTATAGAAAAAATGATCACCCATAGGAGCATCAGAAAATGTACTTGTACTGTTCTATCGAGAGTTTAGTAGAAAGTACTGAATAATTGTTATTAATTTATGTGTTAACAGTTTCTTATCTCAAAATTCAGGAAACACAATTGATGGTGCAATACCCAAGAACGTAATCAATATAAAATGAAACTAGTGATATTAATTTGTAAATTTCAACTTGATCGAAAGTTTTCCCATTAAAATTTATAATTTTAAATTGAAGTCGAAATTATTATTTAAAATATATGGCTTTTTTATACCAACGTTTTTCTAGGGTGGTGGCAATACGATGAACGTACAAGTAAAGAACTTGAATATTCTTACAAAAACGGTGAAAAAACTTGCGAATTGCTGATTGCTGGATTTCTGTATATCGTGGATCTGGAAAATATGCTCCAGCTGAGACGAAACGATCCATCTCGAAGACGAAGGATTAAAAGAGATCATGCAAATATCCCAAAAAAAGGTAACAAGAAAATCTAAATTAAAATCTACTACTTGAATGTGTGTTTTAAATTTTGTTCACAACAATAAACATCGTGGGCAAAAGGAGGGGTGCATTTTGGAGAATTATCGGTCTATAATTTTTTTTGCGTGTCTGGTGCGTAGAGGCGTGAAATAACAAGCTTTATTACTTCCTTTTAGGTATAGCGGGTCTACGTACCGACGAGGAAAGAAGTATTTTAGATACTTACGAGGAGAGACCCCTCAGCCCTATAGACGGAAGGACTGACAACGTGGTGCCCATCACTCCGTCTAATACACCGCAGAGTCCAACGAGCGGAAGAGAATCTCCAGATCAGGAACAGGATTTGCAGGCTACCGTGGAAAGAATCAGTTCCTTAAGGTTGGACACCAACCCGAATTTAAATGAAACCAGCAACATCCTGAGCGGTATTGTTACAGAAAGTCACCACAGTAGGCGTAGAAGTACGGATTGAATCCAGGCATTGTAACTTTTTTTTTATTGTTCGTTGGAAAATGTTAATTGTGTATATAACTAATAAATTCAATTATAGATATTTATAAAGCTTACTAATTTAATATGGGATGTAGAAATTACATTTAAGATATGACACATAGCGGCCCTGACCAGTCCAAAACTCCAACAATTTTCGAGATTTTCATTTTTTTTCATTTTAGTTCCATGGAAGCCTTTGATAGGTAGGCAACATACAATACAACACATATATAGGGTGTGCCATTTAACGCTCTCTCTGCCAATATCTCCGAAATGAAGAAATTTATTTTAGTTCTGGAAATTGGGGTTGTTAGGTCCCTCGAATAGCTTCAAATTGTAGTTAGAATTGTTAATTCAAATCTTTCTGTATAGATGGCGTGGCGATGAAAAAATTTTTTGTTCTCTGGAACGTGGAAAAGCAGTCCATCTGAAAAATCGTTAAATTTTGAGTAATTTTTGTAATATAAAGTTTTTCCCTATATTTACTTGTTTTCGAGATAAATAAAAATAAAGTCATTATAACAATATTTTAAAAGAATATTGTGTCTCGGAGTGATTTAGATAAAATAATATATTTTCCCGTTATATCATACATATTGAAGTCGACGTATCTCCAAAACAAGTAAATATAGGGAAAAACTTTATTTTACAAAAATTACTCAAACGATCTTTCAGATGGACTGCTTTTCCACGTTCCAGGGAATAAAAAAATTTTTAGTATCGCCACGCCATCTATACAGAAAGATTTGAACTAACAATTCTAAGCTATCCGAGGGACCTAATGACCCCAATTTCCAGAACTAAAATAAATTTCTTCATTTCGGAGATATTGGCAGCGGGAGTGTTAAATGGCACACCCTGTATATTATAGATTGTAGGTAAATTTATTAAAAATTATGTACATATAAATCTTCCTTTATTAGAAAACAAGAACAGTAATATAATTTCTTTACTTTCTAATATGGTTTACCAGCACAAAAAAAGCTCCCTACAACAAATTATTCTCAAAGTTGAGACAAACCGGCTTTTCGATGAGCACTTTAATTTTTTGAAAATTCTTATAAAATTAAAATGCCAGTTTTAATCTAATAATAATCCAGTTTTAATGGATTTATCAGTAATCTATAATACTGTAATGCATAGTTTTAACATTATGCAGCCAAATATACACCCATGTATTGTATGTTGCCTACCCAGCGAAAATTTTGAAACGAAGGAAAAATATTAAAAAATCTCGAAATCTGGTGGAGCTAGAGAAGAACTAACAGTTTTGGATTAGTGAGGGTCGTAAGTGTCTACCTGAATTTTTTTAGAATTATCAGAGTCCTAAAATTTTTTGAGAAAATCCATGGATTTTTCAGACAAAAAATTTTAGGGGCTTGGAAAAATCTGAAAAATTTGCTCTAGACTATAACGGTACTGGTAAATCCAAAACTAAAATAAATTTCTCTTCAGCTCTTGTAATTTTCGAGATATTCAATTTTTTTTCTTCAGGAAAGCAACTTACAAAAAACGACTACATCAGCGTACTTTGCAGCCCAAACTAGATGTAATTATTGGATTTGGAAATGAGTTAAATGATTAATAACTTAAGTTCCATGCATCTTTCAGTTAATTTTGAGTGTACATTTACGTACACGAGTGTAATGTCGAACGGTACATTTGAACTACTTTTCGTAAGTTACAAAATCTCTGTAATTCTATTTCCATTCACATCCAATCAAATTTAATTTAAAATTTTCCCAGTTTTGACTATTCAGTATTGTAAAAACTAAGTACAGGTTTATCTTGTTTTATTACAAATTTTATTTTGATACACAATACGAGATAAATGTTTTCAAGTAATTATTGGATTTGGAAATAAGTTAAATGATTAATAATTTAAGTTACATGCATCTTTCATTAATTTTGAGTGTAAATTTACGTACACGAGTGTAAAGTCGAACGGTACATTTGAACTACGTTTCATAAGATACAAAATCTCGGTAATTCTATTTCCATTCACATCCAATCAAATTTAATTTAAAATTTTCCCAGTTTTGACTATTCAGTATTGTAAAAACTAAGTACAGGTTTATCTTGTTTTGTTACAAATTTTATTTTGATACACAATACGAGATAAATGTTTTCAAGTAATTATTGGATTTGGAAATAAGTTAAATGATTAATATTTTAAGTTTCATGCATCTTTCAGTTCATTTTGAGTGTACATTTACGTACACGAGTGTAAAGTCGAACGGTACATTTGAACTACTTTTCATAAGTTAGAACAAGAACAGTAATATAATTTCTTTACTTTCTAATATAGTTTACCAGCACAAAAAAAGCTCCCTACAACAAATTATTCTCAAAGTTGAGACAAACCGGCTTTTAAATGAGCACTTTAATTTTTTGAAAATTCTTATAAAATTTAAATGCCAGTTTTAATCTAATAATAATCCAGTTTTAATGGATTTATCAGTAATCTATAATACTGTAATGCATAGTTTTAAGATTATGCAGCCAAGTATACACACATGTATTGTATGTTGCCTACCTAGCGAAAGCTTTGAAACGAAGGAAAAATATTTAAAAATCTCGAAAACTGGTGGAGCTAGAGAAGAACTGACAGTTTTGGTTTAGTGAGGGCCGTAAGTGTCTACCTGAATTTTTTTAGAATTTTCAGAGTCCTAAAATTTTTTGAGAAAATCCATGGATTTTTCAGACAAAAAATTTTAGGGGCTTGGAAAAATCTGAAAAATTTGCTTAAGACTATAACGGTACTGGTAAATCCAAAACTAAAATAAATTTCTCTTCAACTCTTGTAATTTTCGAGATATTCAATTTTTTTTCATCAGGAAAGCAACTTACAAAAAACGACTACATCGGCGTACTTTGCAGCACAAACTAGACGTAATCATTGGATTTGGAAATGAGTTAAATGATTAATAACTTAAGTTCCATGCATCTTTCAGTTAATTTTGAGTGTAAAGTCGAACGGTACATTTGAACTACTCTTCATAAGTTACAAAATCTCGGTAATTCTATTTCCATTCACATCCAGTCAAATTTAATTTAAAATTTTCTAGTTCAGACTATTCAGTATTGTAAAAACTAAGTACGGGTTTATCTTGTTTTATTACAAATTTTATTTTGATACACAATACGAGATAAATGTTTTCAAGTAATTATTGGATTTGGAAATGAGTTAAATGATTAATAACTTAAGTTCCATGCATCTTTCAGTTCATTTTGAGTGTACATTATATTATCATTATAGATAAATGTTTTCAAGTAATTATTGGATTTGGAAATAAGTTAAATGATTAATATTTTAAGTTTCATGCATCTTTCAGTTCATTTTGAGTGTACATTTACGTACACGAGTGTAAAGTCGAACGGTACATTTGAACTACTTTTCATAAGTTAGAACAAGAACAGTAATATAATTTCTTTACTTTCTAATATAGTTTACCAGCACAAAAAAAGCTCCCTACAACAAATTATTCTCAAAGTTGAGACAAACCGGCTTTTAAATGAGCACTTTAATTTTTTGAAAATTCTTATAAAATTTAAATGCCAGTTTTAATCTAATAATAATCCAGTTTTAATGGATTTATCAGTAATCTATAATACTGTAATGCATAGTTTTAAGATTATGCAGTCAAGTATACACACATGTATTGTATGTTGCCTACCTAGCGAAAGCTTTGAAACGAAGGAAAAATTTTAAAAAATATGGAAAACTGGTGGAGCTAGAGAAAAACTGACAGTTTTGGATTAGTGAGGGTCGTAAGTGTCTACCTGAATATTTTTAGAATTTTCAGAGTCCTAAAATTTTTTGAGAAAATCCATGTTTTTCAGACAAAAAATTTTAGGGGCTTGGAAAAATCTGAAAAATTTGCTCTAGACTATAACGGTACTGGTAAATCCAAAACTAAAATAAATTTCTCTTCAGCTCTTGTAATTTTCGAGATATTCAATTTTTTTTCTTCAGGAAAGCAACTTACAAAAAACGACTACATCAGCGTACTTTGCAGCCCAAACTAGATACGGTGCCGTCTTTAGATTTAGACTGGACAACACGATTGTAAATAAATCTCCCTTTATTTATAGAACAAATATAATTTCCGCATTTTCTATTGTAGCTTAGCAGTTCACAAAAATAAGACGTGGCAACAACACATCTCACTTACCCAGATAAAAATGTTTTTTTCTCGATACAGCCAGTGCGATCACATGTTAAGGTAGCAACTTTTCTTCTGCTACGTACAACAATAATATATTTTCAAAGTTGAGACGAAACGGCTTTTACATGAACACTTTAATTTTTTTACAATTTTCAAGAACGACAAAATTTTTTTTCTCCCGCTTATAACTTTTCTTTCTATACCCCTAATACAGAACACGGTAGACTCCTTTCTGGTGTTTATATACAGGGTGTCCCACAGGAACTCCATCGATGGATATCTGGTAAACCGCTCGAAGGATTTTTTTGAAATTGTGACAGCCTATCAAGCTAAAATATTTTCAAGGTCATCGTACTTCGGGTTATACCGGAAGTCGATACTAACTTTCTTATTTTAAATGGAACCCCCTGTATATTATTGCAATTTTGAAAAGAGCATCAATTTTTAAATTGAAAATTTATAGCACACTCCAAACTCGACTGTTTCCAAGATATTTTGATTTTTAAGCCAAAATTGACATTGACAAACTGTCGGCAAAATTTAGTTTTCCCGGAAACATAGGTTTGAGCATCTACCATCAAATTCTATTAGAGCAGCGACCCACAAGGAACTAATCTGAAGGTGTGAAAAATACTTAGAAGTTGAGAAGACATTTTGAACATTAATTAAAATAAATTTGACAATTAAAAACCTGTGACAGTTGTCATGTTGATTGTTACTTATCTGTCACGGCCAACCTAAAATGTGTGAAACAATTCGATAATTTTTTTTGACCACCCTGCATAAAAACTGGAAAATGTTCATGTCAAATTTGATAAATTAGTCCAATTTGCATAAAAAAATAAACCTATGTTTCCGGGAAAACTAAATTTTGCTGACAGTCTGCACCTGTCAATTTTTGCTTAAAAAAAAAAAAAAATCTCGGAAACGGTTAATCCTAAGTATGGAAAACTATATGTTTTCAACTTAAAAATGGATGCTCTTTCCAAAATTGCAATAATATACAGGGGGTTCCATTTAAAATAAAAAAGTTAGTATCGGCTTCCGGTATAACCAAAGTACGGTGACCTTGAAAATATTTTAGCTTGGTAGGCCCCACGGTCCGTATCACACCATCACAATTTCAAAAAAATCCTTCCGAGCGGTTTCCCAGATATCCATCGATGGAGTTCGTGGCAGGACACTTTTTGTATGACAATATACTTTGAGGTTATATTTCACAGAGCAACCTACACCAGTAGGCATCACATTTAAGATGACATGTATTTTGTATTTTATAATTCACAAATACAGCTGCGCCCCAGTCACAAGGCACGCTTTGTGCAATGTAATTTTGGAAAGTAGGGTAGTTTAAATGATATACGAAGTAATGTAAAATATTTATTTTGGTAATTACTGAATGAATAGTTGTAATACTGCAAGTAACCGCTACATATATAAATTTGAGAATAAATATTAATAAAACTATTTCAAGAATCAACAAGTTTCGATCGTAAAAAATATAAGTTACATGAATATTACAATGAGTGACAGAAAATTTCATTGTTTCAAATTTACTGCTGTTAAACAACACAGTAAGTCAAATATGATTGAAACTGTAATCCATTATCGGGTGCCGATACAAAAATAATTTCTTTTTGCCAAGCTTCCGGCAAAAAAAAAACAATGATTCGTTCATTCATGAATTAATTTGGCTTCATTTAAAACTACCGTTTGTATCATTTCCTATGACCTGCAAAGCAACTGTACGAGTTCAGTTTTTTAAGTAACAAACAAATCTCGGTCGATGTAATATTTTCCGGTGTATAAAAACAAAAACAATTATTTAAATACAGGACTATATTTCAAGATTCTCATAACTTAATTGCTTTGCTTCGTGTAACATTAAACATGTAACGAAACTTAAAAATTATTTCTTTGGTATATAATGTAAAACGTTAAAACAGAATTAAAATTTACAAAATCAAAGAAAATTACAACAAAATGCTATAAATTACAATACGATTATTTGCGCTTTTGTGTGCTTTGACGAATCACTTGGAATTTTTTTTTAAAATTTGCAAATTATATCACAATCATAATTATTTATGGCAAAACTTATTTATAGCGGCATTTCTATGAATGTTACAATGAACCCGTTCTCTTACGTGTATTCAAAACACGTTAAATTGCCCCGGTGTATTATAATTCAAAGCATTTTGTCGAACAAAGGTTTATTTCCCCTAAAATAATTTAAATATTTACACATTCACCTAGACGCTAAGCAAAATATGTAAATGAGTCAAAAATTGATTTATTAATAAAAAAAAAGTACAATTGAACTAATACAGGTACCTACCAATCCATGAATCAAACAAAATACGTTCTATATAAATTATTCTACGGATAAGATAAATAATATTTTGCATAAGTTATATGTACAGTGTGTAATATTATTCCTCGCCGTCAGACAACGGTAGAACGGATTACTAACAAGGGACTAGTCTAATTTATTGATCGGTATGCTGTTGATTCGATTTGTCTCTCCATACCCACTGTATGGCTTTGTTCATGTTAAAAATCACCCAGGGGAACAGTCCGGCTCCGTTGAAGACTCGACCACACATAAACTTTATGTAATCGGTAAGCTTTATTAAGAAAAATACTTTCATATTTGGACAGAAATTAGCTTTTGTGATGCTAAGGCAGCATTTCGACAACATTCCTCTTATGCTAACATCGTACCAATGAACTCGTATTGGGCTATTTTAAACACCAACATTTTGTGATGTATTCTGTAAATCCCAAATTGATTTAAGACGAAAGAAAACCAAAAAAATAAAACATAATTACAATAATTTTTTTGTTGGACTTTCACCATTCGCACACAACAGCTTATTCGAATAGTTTCAAACGTTTTTTTTTTCCATTATTTCTGACATTAAAAAAAATTTGCTTTATTTCGCCAAGTTCTAGAAAACCTAAACCCAAAAGTACCCTGTATATCTGAAAGGTTAAATAATGTTTATTTATATCATTTTTCTGAAAAGTCATCATCAAAGAATGGGATTTTATCATTTAAAGACCACAGAAAAAAGTCTGTTACGAACAAATTGAAGTTTTATTAAAATACGGTATCTACAATGAAAATTTTGATTGTTAAGAATTTTTTGTGCTATCGATCAAGTGGCTTCCGTTAAGGTAAATATGAAAAAGGCATAAAAATAATCCTAGGTTTGAAATATGCGACGGAATGTTATTTCTTTGGCATATTTAAAGCTAAAAGAGCATAAAAAAAAGGATATTATATTGTCCAAGGTGGATGGCCCCCGTTTATATACAAAACGTACATAAACCCGTCTTTACACTTCCCTTTTATGGAATAATAGTAAGGCAGAAAACTGTGCAGCCTGAATCTGAAATCGAAACGTATTTAGTCAACGATAAATATGTATTCCGTGATTCCCCGAAATTTCAACTGCAAAAGTAATAAAAATAACAAATACCTGGTAGCTAGTAGCTTTAGTTTTTATATACAGATTGTTGGTGCAAATTAAGGCCAAAATTCAAAGAGAACACAGGATTTTTTCTTTGTCGATGTTTCGTCACCTTTATTGTGCGTTTCGAAGATGTTACAGTAAAGGTGACGAAACGTCGACATAGAAAAAAGTCATGTGTTTTCTTTGAGTTTTGGCCTTAATACCCACCAATGACTACCAACAATCTATATACCAAAAATAACGCAAACTTAGGAAAGCAATTACATATACGGTATACATATTTATGAGCATTTAAATGTGGTTCTAACTTAAATATTTATTAACGTAATATAATTTTATACACACAGTTCAAAAAAACAAACGGGAAATAAAACTTTGAACCAAAACCATTCTGGGATGAATAAAAAACAATTTGATTACATTATTTTCACAAAAAATAACAATAAATTTTTTTCGTTTATCTAAACATCGTATGTGCTTGAAAACGGAAAAACAAAGAGTCCGAATTTTGATATTTTTGTCTTACTCCTCAAGTTTCATCCCCCCCCCACCTCCAATGCAATTTGGGACACCCCTTATATTTCGTTGTAACGTTTGCCAGAAAAATAATTGAATTAAAAGTGCTTTTCGAAAAATTTTAACCAACCGTATGGCGAAAAGACAAATTCGCGCTTTCTAAATTAAAAACGTAACTGATCTATCTAGTGGATACTATACTTACTCACTTTTTTTGCTCATAAAATATAATGGCGGCGGAGTTCGTTGTGAGCACGTGTAAAAAGACGGCCTTGACTTTTTTCCTCTCGGGGGTGGTGAGGTGCCTGAGGAGCGAATCCAACAGTAACGAGGCTATCCCGTTCCTGCGGTACTGCTTTAATACCCCCAGCGATAAGATGTACGCTACGTCGGCGTCGGTGAACGACTTCGCCAGTATCCCCGTATCTTCCTCGTTTAAATTGGCGTGAGGCTTTATTTCAGCCACAATCAGTCCGATAATTTGGTGGCCGTAAACGGCGGCCAGGGAATAGAATCTACTAAAGTGGGAAAGAGGAATATTACTAACACAAGAACTTCTACATGATTTACAACGTAAAAAAATAGCTAAAATCGAATGTCTTATAGAAACCGAATAAGAGGTGACATTATGTTTGTTTGTGGTAATTACACATAAATTTTTAATTATTTCTCGGAAAAACCCATCATAGAATGTAATAAATCGATATACAGGGTGTTTCAGAAAAACCACCCGTAAATTCAGGGGGTGATAGTACGACAAAAAATAAGAATTTTTTTTCTTATGAACTATACGTCTATTTCCTCTTGTTTTCGAGATACAGAGCGACAAAATAAAATTTTTTAAATAGAATTTTTACAAAAATTTCCAAACGGCGCGAAATATTTTTATATATTCCGGGGTTTCTAAGGATGCCAAATACGTTGGTCTAATTATTTTGAGAAAAGTCACTTATTTTCTACACCGTAATATTGTAAGAGTTCAATTAAAAACCTTTTTTTCTCGAAAACCATCCACATTAGGAAGTTCTAACAAGAATACATTATTTTTAGAAAATAAAATTGTACATTAGAAATTTGAGCCCGAATGCTAAACCTAACTTCAAAAAAATTAGAACCATGTAGCGTACTTAGCGCCCTCTATGAAATTTCTAAAAAATAATTAGACCAGCATCCTTAAAAACCCCGGAATACCAAATGTCATAAAAATATTTCGCACCGTTTGGAAATTTTCGTAAAAATTATATTTAAAGACAAATAATTGTTATTTTTTGTCGTACTATCACCCCTTGAATTTACGGCAGGTCTTTCAGAAACACCCTGTATATGTACATTACATAATCTAATGTAAGATTAAATTACTCAAAAAAATAAAATAATATGTATATTAATTTGATGAAAACTATTTATTAGCTGGAACATTTTTGAATTATATAAAATACAAACTTAAAATCAGTATTCATACGGATTCACTAATTTAAAGGAAATTTTCTGTGGTCACGATTTTTTATCTTTCTCTGAACATTATCTAATAAATTTATCAGTCGTTCGACATAATGACACTTCCACTTAATAAAATGGAAAGAACACCACTAAAAAAATAAACTCATACCCACTTTTAACTACAAAAAATAATCTTAAAATCATATCTTTTATCTTTTAACAAACAGTTAATAAAAGTGTTTCATTTAACTAATTTTATCTTTCCTTATAACATTTATGTCAATTGTATTATCTACAGTTTTACTTGAGAACCAAACTAAATATGCATATAACGCCATATTCATCAGTAAACATTTTAGGCTGGTGTTGTACTTACCTAGTGCTAGACGTAATTTCTTCGTACCAGTAGAAAGGATATTCAATGGGAAACCAGTCTTGGCACAACGCTCTCACTTCGTCTAAGTCATCAGGGCACAGGAAACGTAGCTGCACATCAGCTAAAGAATACAGAGGTATTCTCTTCTCGTCCATGGCATATATTCCATCTGAACATTTTCCATTAAACTTGTACCTATGAAACGAAACGTTGACAAAGGAAGAGATTAATTAGTACCTATATCAAATATTTCCTGCAGAGGTTAACTCACCAATTTATTTCAGCCATAAATAATTTGTTGGTAAATGATAATTCGTAAGTGGGAAATCTATTTCTCTTTCATTTTTAAACAAAAAAATTTTGACGACTGATAATATCTCGTCATAATAACAATTATCTAGGAAGTGCCATTTGTTTTTATTCCTAAACGAACAATTTCTCCGTTTGCACGTAAGAGGGCGCTACATTTAGCAAGGTCAAACCATAGAAAATGGAACATTAACAGACGACACTAATTGTAACAAGATTTCGCAATGTTGCCAATATAAATCGACCGCGCGCCATTATTCTATGGCTAGAAATTGGCCTCAATGATTTGGGATCGAGGGGGATTATCCCTCTTTATCCTGCCTCATCTCGTGTAGGCCTGGACAGCCTTCGTAGGTGGGCCCCATCCGTCGTCTACCCCGACCGCAAATGCGGCCGGTGTAGGCGCTTTGTGGGACCTCCTTTTGTCCTGGCTGGGCCCCGCCGGCTAGGGCCCTTTCTTCTGGCGCTCTTCTTGCTTCGCCGGCTCGTCTGTGTAAACCCCGGGGGTAGTGTCATGTTTATGTGTGGTATGGTTGGGTAGGGTAGTGCGGCTATGCAGCCTGGGATGCGCTTTGCTAAGG